TCTATTTAAACCCCTAATTCAGTTCTGTTTAAACTCTTAATTCAGTTCTGTTCAAACTTCCTAATTCAGTTCTGTTTAAACTCTTAATTCAGTTCTGTTTAAACCTCTCCTGTTCTGTTCAAACTTTCTAATTCAGTTCTGTTTAAACTCCTAACCCAGTTCTGTTAAACCTTTTGATCCAGTTCAGTTCACACCCCATGATCCAGTCCTGTTCAAACTTCCTAATCTAGCGTTTAAACCTCCTGATCCAGTTCTGTTTACACTTGTCTAAATGGAGCCGTGTCTGTTCGCAGCCGGATGTTTCCGGTCCTGAAGGTGAGCGTCTCCGGTCTGGACCCCAGCTCCATGTACTCCTTCTTGCTCGACTTTGTGCCGGCCGACAGCTGCCGGTGGAAGTTCGTGAACGGGGAGTGGGTGGCGGCCGGCCGAGCGGAGGGCCGCAGCGAGGGGCGGGGCCACGGCGGTATCTACATCCACCCCGACTCTCCGAACTTCGGGGCCCACTGGATGAAGGCCCCCGTGAGCTTCAATAAAGTCAAGCTGACCAACAAAGTTAATGGAGGAGGACAGGTAAGCAGCTCACCTGACGACGGAAACTGTTCTCTGGGTTTTGTTCATTCGAAGTCTTTTCTTTCTTTTTGCCACGTGTTCAGTCAATTCTTTAATTTTTTATCTTTACGTTTCTGTTAATTTATATGAATTTAAATCTTTTTTTAATCGAGTTGTTTAATGGACGAGCATTACAGCCACGTTGAGCCTTTTTTTCCTCAAAATTTAAATTTCTGAGAAAAAAGTATCCTTCATATTTCAATTTGTATGTTTTTTTGCAATCGTTTTGATTAATATTTGACGTCCTGACACTTTCTACAAACTTCTCATTGTTTTTTTTTAAATTTGTTCTTCTTTGTTCTTTATTTTAACTTGATTTTGATGTATTTGTCATATATTATCTAGTATTTTCTTTGTTCCAGTCTATGTACCTTATATGCAGTATGTTTTTATGGGCATATTTTCCGGTCATTTAGGACTCACAAAATATTTTTCTATTAAATGAGCAAATAGTAAGAGATTTTTCAAAATTACTTTATTCAAGGTAACAAATTTCCATACGCTGGGATTACTTTGTTTTTAAACAGTTTGGCTTTGGAAGCTTAACTGACAACATTTGAGTTAAGTGGACGCACACATGCTCTTCGTGAGGCATCATGGGGAAATCTTAACAAATTAGCCAAGATGTCAGGAAGAGAATCGTCTGGTTCGTCCTCGGGTACCTTTTCCAGATGTCTGAAGGTTCGACTGTTCAAACGATGACCAGAAATGTAAACTCAATGAGAATGTGTGCGTGGACCGCTCAGGAAGGAGTTTGTAAATGAGGGACAGAGACTTTAACGTTTGGAGACACGTCTTGTGGTCTGATGGAACTAAAACGGAACCGTTTGATCAGAATGACCGTCGTAGCCTGAGAACACCATCCTGACTGTGAAGTACGGCGGTGGCAGCATCATGCAGTGGGGGGTGTTTTGCTGCAGGAGTGACTGGCGACCTTCGCAATATAGATGGTATTGTGAGGAAGAAATCTGTGGAAATATTGAAGCAACGTTTGGACATGAATGGGTTTTCCAAATTGACAATGACCATGAGCGCACACAAAGTGACTGATCTTCTTCATCAAAGTTCATGCTCAATAATCCAGGTAGAAGGTCCAACAAAGTTCACTCAGCTCATCTAGACGGTTTCTTTTTTGGTTGAAACGTTTCGTCCTCAGGTTGATGAAGTCCTTTGAACGAAGGACGAAACGCCTCGACAAAAAAAGAAACCGACCAGAGGACCTGACTGAACTTTGTTGGATTTTTTTTAACCTGGATTATTGCGCATGGACTTAGATGTTTTGAACCACTTTGGCTATGACGGCTATGACTGCAAACTGGTTGAGCCACTACGTGGGTGTGCTAATTGTGGGGCTGAGTTTGTTGTGGCTCCTCGAACTGGTGAAGTCTTTTGAATGCAGGACGAAACGCCTCAACAAAAAAAGAAACCGTCCAGAGGACCTGACTGAACTTTGTTGGACTTCTTTTCTTCTTTTCATAATGTCGTCATGTTCCTTTTTTCTTCACCTTCATCTTCTTCTCCTGTCCATTTGCTTCTCTCCGTCCTCCCTGTGCTTTTCTGGAGTGGGCGAGAGACCACCGCCTCTAATTAGCCACTTCAGTCCCTCTCCTCTTTCACTTCACCTGTTCACCCCCTCGTAACCACGGGAACAGGATAAACAGCTCTTAATTGGCCGGCGGCAGTTTAATGCACTTCCTGTCGAGAGCTGTTCAGTAAAGGCCTTCACACACACACACAGACACACACACACACACACACAGTGTGTACAGAAGAAAATTGGCAGTAATGTTGTTTATATTTACCCCATTATCCGGTCCAAACATCACACGCACACACCGAGCCGTAATGCAGAGTTGGAACAGAGAGCCGGGCCATAATGAAATAATTGCTCAGCTTATTTGTACATTATGGTAATTATGTTTTTTACTGGGAAATTAATTTTGCCATCATGCTTCAGATGGACGAGGTAAACTATATTCAAAGCGAGCCCACACACACTCCAGCTAACACACAGCGCCGGGGTCACATCTGAAGCCAGCCTCTCAATCTGAATAGAAAACTGTTTGTTTTTGTGTGTTCGCCCGCAGGACTCGGATTGGTTAATTGGACCTCGTTAGTGGTGGTAAGGAGGAGGGGGTTGAAAAGACAGATGGATAAAAGAGAGTTTGGGCCAAAAGACAAAGATGGCTCTTCTCCACAAACTCTAGGTTTTTTATGTTTTTAATGGATTCAAAAGTGCAGAGTTGTGTTTGGAGAACTTTCTGGTCCAAGTTCAAGAAGTCCTGAACTCTGATGCAAGTTTACGCTTTGCTTGTCCCATTTGTTGTTGTTGTTGTGTTTTTTTAAATAAAAGACTAAATGGATCATACGGTATATATGGACTCATATGGATGATTAGTACCAAAAATATACAGAATATAAACTGTTAAAAGTTTGTTGAACAAGTTAGCAGAATCTAAATCAACTGCGGGTGGAAACAACTGGCACAAGGTGATGTCAAGTCCAGGGTAAAACACTTTAGTTGGTCCCAGTTGTTTCTTTTTAGTGTCCAACCAGTGGTTCACACTTTCCTGTAATCTTTTAATGTGTAATCAATGGTTCTCCAGACTTTCTGAAGTTTGAGTGTTTTTCTTTGGACTTTTGGTTAAATTTGCCTGAAGCTTGAAAACTTGGCAAACCTTAGCAAGACTCCAAACCTTTAAAGTCTATTTCTTGTAGAAAGGTATGACGCCAGTTCCAGTGGCATAAAAAAAATAAATAAATCAGGTTTATACTTCATGTTGGACAATGAGCTTGCTTTATTAGTGAATTGTGATGTACAGTGATCCCTCATCTATCGCGGGGGTTACGTTCCAGAGACCCCCACAGTAGGTGAAAATCCACGAAGTAGCGATGTTAAACATTTCATATGATATTTGGCACGTTGGCGATAGCGATGAAGACGATGAGATGAATGTACTGTACAGTACTGAACAGCATGTACAGTACATACAATGTAAAAATAAAAACGGGTTTTAAAAAACGCATGATACAGCGAAGTCGCAAGAAGTGAACGGTGATCTAGCGAGGGACGATTGTAGTGCAATTCTCGATGGTCGTTTTGTCCAGCAAAAGGTTGCACAAATCATCAGGGGGCATTTACCACCAACTGAACTAGTGAGGTCCTTGAGGCGCCTTGAGGAACTCCAAGAAGACCATAAGACTTAACTATAGGGAAGGTTTCTGATGGTCTCAAGTTTCTGCCCGCCCGTCTATCACTTTCCTGAGAGCCACTGTGAGTTGCAACCTCCAGTCACCTGGTCTACTGTCCAATGCCTTTTCCACACGAGTCATCATGCTGCCTGAATCCGACAAATCTGGGCCCAGCTACCCACTGAAGGTGCCTCCACATGTCCCTGTCTGCCTCCACACTAAAAGTTGAAGTCCCAGCATCCTGTTCCAAGGTCTAAATGAGGTTTGAGATGCCATTGACTCACATTCTAGACCCAAACCTGAAAATTCAGTCTTGTGGCGTGACGGTCTCCTAGCCTGTGACTGAGAACGAGACCTACATGACCACATTATGTGTACTCTGTCGATACACTTAATGCATGTAGCTGTACTAAGCACTTTCTTTGGGTCAAGGGTGAGGTTCTGCCTCAAGTGGAGGTGTTCAAGTATCTCGGGGTTTTGTTCACAAGTGAGGGAAGAATGGACCGTGAGCTTGACAGACAGATTGGTGCAGTATCTGCAGTATTGCGGACTCTGTGCCGGTCCGCTGTGGTGAAGAGGGAGCTGAACTGTAAGGCAAAGCTCCCTGTTTACCAGTCAGTCTACGTTCCTTCCTTCAACTATGGCCACAAACTCTGCGTAGTGACTGAAAGAGTGAGATTGTGGATACAGGCAGTTGAAATGAGTTTCCTCCACAGGATAGCTGGACTCTTCCTTAGAGATAAGGTGAGAAGTTCAGTTATCTGGGAGAGACTCTGAGTAGAACCGCTGCTCCTCTACATCAAAATGAGCCAGTTGAGGTGGTTAGGGCATCTGGCAAGGATGCTTCCTCGGCTCTTCTGGGTGCTTCAGGCATGTTCCACTGGGAGGAGACCCTGGGGAACTATGCCTCTCTCGGTTGGTCTGGAAACGCCGTGGGATCCTCCCAGAAGAGCTGGAAGAGGTGGATATGGAGAGAAAGGTCTGGGCCTCCTTGCTCAAGCTGCTGTCCTCGCGACCTGACTTCAGAAAAAGCGGAAGATAACGGATGGATGTACTAAACACATAGCAAACTGCCATCCATCATGGTGGAGTGAACAGTCTTAATTAATTATGTCACTGGCCCGAACCATTTTTACCAGAAAAAGTGTAACTACAGGTCAGAAAGATGGCAAGATCTGAACAGCTGTTCTATTTCTGTTTGTTTCAGATTATGCTGAACTCTCTCCATAAATACGAGCCTCAGCTGCACATCGTCTGCGTCGGCTCTCGTCATCGTTTGGTCTCCAACGTTTCCTTCAAAGAAACTCAGTTCATCGCTGTCACCGCCTACCAGAACGAAGAGGTGCGAAGACTAACATGCTCCCTTCTTTATCAAGTTTAGTCTCTTTTTTTTTTTTTTTAAAGTTACCAATTCACTTCTGATTTCCTGTTTCCGGATAACTTTACAACTTTGACCAAGTGAAACAGATTTACGGCTGGTTTATCGCCACACAAGTACACAATTTAAAAACACTCCTTTAATTTAAAATGTGGATTTACAACCAAATCGTGCCATCGTGTTTATTTGCTCTAAACATTTCAAGGTTTCTTAAAATAGCACAAGAAGTAACTTAGGAGTTGATTGAAAATCACAAACTTATTTCCAGTCAAAGTTTCTTTAAAAACCTTTATTCTGTTTTTGTGTTTTTTGTCCAGATTACAGCTCTGAAGATTAAGTACAACCCATTTGCTAAAGCCTTCCTGGATGCTAAAGAGAGGTAAAATAAATAAAGAAGGATAAAAAAGGGTGATTTTAAAGGACAAACGCTCACAATTTTATTCAGATTTGAAAATTATAGAAGCTGAAGTCTTCCAAGTCCACTCCCTTCTGTTGAAACTGGAGATAAAATCAACCATAATTTCTACAAGTTTAAATAAACTGTGTGAATGTTTGTTTTTCCAGAGTGAAATATTCAATATTAAAAATGTTTAATTATTCATACTTTGAGTTTTGAAGTGCTAGTCTGGCTTCAAATAAAAACAAGAAGTTAAATCAACACGTACGCTAAAGAGAGAAAAAAGTAGCGAACATGACCGAATTTAAATAAAAATAATCCAAATCTATAAGTTTTGCATTCGATTTATGAGACGGCAAAAAAATATTTCAGCCACTGCACATTTAAAAATCTTAAAAGGACAAAAATACTTTCAAATAAATAAATGCTATCAAAAAATAGAGACATAAATTACAGATGGATTTATTGTAGCAATGAGTCATTGTGTGATTTAGTTTTATTATTAAAAAAAAAAAAATGCTGAACTGTGTGTCAGACGTGGACAGCCTCCGGTAAAATTTTACTACGGTAAATAAAAAAATTTATAAAATAAGTCAGAACTGCTGCAAAACTCTGAGTGTTTCTCACCTTGTTCTGAAACAAGTAATTAGTGACTCTTTATCGGTTTGAGCTGATTAAAGAGACAAAAATATTACAAATTAAGCTCTGGTGTTTGATTTTTTTTTTTTTTTTTTTTTTTACAGAAATCCAGCAGCTCGGAGTTTACCGGAGTCTCCGGAGAACCGGGTGGCCCTTCAGCCCTGTGAGTCACATAAACACCTTCTTATTACTAATAAAAATTTAAAAATCTATTTGTTTTATTAATCACACACACACACGCATAAACTCAGATTGGAGGCAATGTGTTCAACATAATGGTACTTGCTCCAGTTATTTAACAGTGAACAATGGTGTACCACAAGGCTCAGTCTTAGGACCCACCCTCTTTACAATCTACATAGGTAATGTAGGTAAAAACATCCCTGATTCATCCATACATTTCTATGCTGATGACACAGTTGTTTATTGTTGAGCTAAAACAGTTGATAAGGCTTTCCGTCAAATGCAATCTGCATTTGACATCCAGTCTGATTTGTTCCGCCTCAAACTTGTCCTAAATGCCGACAAAACCAAAGGGATGCTTTTTTCAAACAGGAAGCCGGTCCCAGCAGTTCTTCCTTCGATTTTATCCTCAAATGGTGTCCCCATTGAGTTTGTTGATTCCTATAAATATTTGGGTATCTTGGTCGACTCACATCTCTTAAGCTCCATGTGGAAAACCTAGTAAAGAAACTGAAAGTTAAACTGGGTTTCTTTTTCAGAAACAGATCCTGTCTAACTCTGACTGCTAGGAAACGCCTTGTAACTGTGACTTTCCTTCCCTCCATTGATTACGGTGACATTATTTACATGAACGCTCCTACAAGAACCCTGCAGATGTTGGATGCTGTCTATCATGGTGCGCTAAGATTCATAACTGGCTGTGATTATCGTACCCACCACTGCACCACTGGTTAACTGGACATCATAAACTTAATGCAGACTCTCCCACTGGTACATTTTCATTCTTAAATCACTTCTTGGTCTGCTGCCTTCATACATCTCCTCCTACATGTCTCTGTGAGTGCAGCTACAGCGTGCGCTCTCAGGACATTATTACCTGCAGTGTTCCCTCAGTGAGGACTGAACTAGGCAAAAGGACCTTCTCCTACTCCGCTCCTGTTTCCTGGAATATCTTACAAAAAGATGAGAAGCTCTCGACCTTGACCTCTCTAAGTGGCTTTAAGAATCTGTTGGACTCCTGGCAGGGTCCAATGCAGACATGTTCCTGTTTTTAGTTTTCTACATTCGCCTTGGACTCTAGCTGTTCTGTTACTCTTTTTCCCATCTTATTTGTAAAAAAAATAATAATAATAATCTGTATGCCTTTTTATAACTGTCTATTGTTGTCATCTTTCTTTGTTGAAATCAGGTCTCTCTTGTAAATGAGTCCTCGAGGCTCAATGGGATTTACCCGTCTAAATAAAGGTTGA